CTCAACAACACTTTACGGAGCCAATAATCTTTAAAATCAATGCTGCAATAATAATCAAAACACTATTAATTTTTTGGAGTTATTACTGTCTAGTATATGTTCATCAGAAAAATTAGTGGAATACCAAATAATAAACAAACAATACTATTTGACAGTCTTAAATCGATAACCGGAGAACTTTAAGATTTGGGTGTAATTGCTTTTGTAAACAAACACGTCCATCGCTGATTTCTCGTGAATAAAAACACAATCTCTCGAACAAACTACACCAAATGATAAAGGAATCATTCCTCTTCCTGTTTGTGTTGTTAGTTTTATAGATTGAGCTTTAATTCGCGATAAATCGGCAAATGACGAGTTCGTTTACAAAAGCAATTACGCCCTAATTTCGAAGTTCTCCGGAACTTTGAAATTATACTGTGGTTTGAATGAGTAAAAATGGTGATAAACGATATCTCCTCTTATTTACTATCCTATGTAGGATACCAGATTTTGAGTTCACAGTCCAGATAACGTAAATTTAAAGCATCATTATCACCTGGAGCATCAGACAGGTGCACGAGTCACACCAAAACCCATTTCCCCTGAAAAAATTTCCAATCATTTTTGTTTCTGTTGAAAAATTAAATCATTCTCAATTACATGCAACCATTTCCATCAATTACGAAATCAATCCCCCATATCCGTCCGGTCGATCAAACAGTCGATCTATCGGGGCAAACAAGACGAACGCGAGACCTCGAACGAGCGTATGGCCTCAAAATGCCCAAGATCATCATCGCACGTCCAAGATGATGCGCGATGATGGCGCACGCATCCGAACGCGGCCACGATCTTGAGACCTCGCATTTCCATCATCAGCTTCACCACCGCCCCATAGAGTTCTCTCCATCCACCGGACCGGGCCAAAGGCGACGACGACGACAACGACGACGCACCGCTCGAAGCATTGGGTGAACCATTTTTAAATGGCCATAATCATTGAGCGGTGTCGGCAAAATTAAGGTCACTCAGAGAGCGCATTGATTTTTCGGCCGTCAATAGAAATGAGGCCCTCGGTTGAAATCGAATTTGTATAGGTGCTATATAGTAGCTAGTCTGTTCCACTAAATCGTTTGGACTTCATTTCTTCCTCCGCTCCGTTTCTGCATTGTACAAAGCATCACTTACCAACCACTAACCGACGGATGGCCAGCAGCAGCGCCACGATGATTCACCTAAATTCGAAAAGAAAGTGAATTGATTTAGGCCCCAAACTGGTTGGTCTGCCAGTCGGACGGCCATAAAAGCAGCCAGCTAACGGTACATTCACGAATTTTAGCGCACGTTGAGTTCGGAACCTCGACGCGACGCCACCAAGCCAAAGCCAAGGCCCCAGCGCAAGTACCTACTGTTGGGAACTGCACATAGTTGGGTGCGTAGTTTTTACGAGGGGAGCTTACTTTTTGCATCGTTTCGGGAACGAACATGTTGTAGTGTCGGTCAACGGGACGTGTTGAGTCAGGTTATAGACGTGCCCAATCATCGATTCGACATGTGGTCAAAAATTAGCGAATTAGCGTGAATTGAGTCCAAATTTGGGCAACCACGCTGAGAGATGTAGTTGGTACAGTTTGTTTGGCATTAGATGCGGAATAGGAATTGAAGCCATTAGGGAATGTTTAACGTTCAACGTTTGCTAGGAGTAGGTACAAGATTACTATTTTTTTAGTTTCTTAAGAAAGGTGAGAGCAGGGTGAAGAAATTTTCTTTCGAGAACTTTTGTAACTTAAACATTGTGGATCTTTTTCAACTACCTACTTCTTTAAATATGGGTCTTCCATAGGCCATAATTGGAACACATAGCCATAACTGGTACATCTTCCCTATATAATATTATTTTCATTCTTCTGACTGCCAATCACTAATGGGCCCCAAATATACTGCAATCTGGTTGACAACCAGGTTGGGTTGCTGCTCAGTTGTATACAGGTTTGGCCAACAGATGTTCAAAAATAACTGGCCAATTACATCAAAAATACTGGAAGAAATCTGAATCCACAAACATACTAATTTCAGAACTTAAAAAATATATAGGGGAAATGGCTCTAATGTTGGCCTATGGATTTAATATTAGACCCATCGCTAAAAAGCTGACATTTATCGATTTTAACTAGATTAACGCGTCATTGGGACGGTGCTAATGGATATTTTTGGTCACTACTGAAAATTTAGTCGATTGCTTAATTTAAGAATGGGCCCAAATTAGGGGCATTTAGGCCGACTTTGCATCCATTTCCTCTACCTACTTATGTGTTTTTTTCAATTTGATTATTTGGTAAGACTCCACTGTTTAGAAAGAAAACTATACGGAGCCGAAAGTCTTTAAATCAATACTGACCTACGAAGTTGTAGCATTACTAACTATTTTTGACATTTTTAAATAGAAAATTTTTAGCGGCACCGGTGGTGTTGTAGTAAGCCTGATTACCTCTTGCCCCAGCAGGCCTGGGTTCAATCCCAGTCGGCGCCACCGGGATGTTCTGAGGGATAACATCTCTGATCACGCATTCCTTAGGAAGGGAAGTAAAGCCGTTATTCCCCTAGACTAATTTCATCAAATCTACAATGATTCATAAGTAAAAGTTTTTGTTTTGTGTTTTAGGCCTTCCTTAGCTCTGTCGGTAAAGGCACAACTATAAAGCAAGGTGTTGGAATTTTTCGGGTTGACACATTTCTCAACTTCCCTGCGCATAGAGTATGATTGTACTTGCCACACAATTATACTATTGCAAAAATGGTACAGGCTTAGAAAGCTTTCAATTAACAACTGCGGAAGTGTTCAGTTGAGTGTCGGCGTAAAATCCCAGTAGGGCCGTAACAAATCCAAAGAAGAATAACATTTGTGTTCGAACAAAACAGGGTATCTACTACCTGGAATACCGAGATTTCTCAGGGATGTTTATTTTTCCTGGAAAAACCTGGAGTTTTCAGAGAGTTTTAAGAATAATCTTACTAAGCAATTTTTATGAATTGAATGCAAACATTTTAATTTGCACGATATTTTATTTAACTTAATAGGTCCGGACCAGATTTATCTTCAGTATCAAATAAATTTTAAAATTCAGAACAATATTAAATAGAAGGGGCCCCAATGGTGGTTAAGGCTGCCCTGCTTAGAATTTCTGAAAATAAATCCAAATGATTTCTTGGGAGTATCCCGAAATAGTTCTTTGAAATGTATTAAGGTAATTCCAAGCAAAATTCCAAGGAAAACTGCAAGGAATTTAATTACTAAGAGGGTAATTCTAACTACATATCGAGAAAAATTTAAAAGGAATTCCAACGAGTACTCCAAGGATATTCCGGTGATAGTTTTTAGAAAAGAGAGTTCAATTGAAATTATGACGAGCATTTCAAAAAATTAGGGGAAATTTTGAGTAAAACTAAAAATTAATTCCTATGGTAATTACATGGCAATTCCAGGAGACTACTTAGTGAATGCTGAGGAACTATAAGTGATTTTTTCAGGAGTATTGGTTGGCCTATGGATCAAATATTGAGCCCGTCGCTAAAAATCTGCTATTTATCAATTTTATCTAGATGAACGCGTCATTGGGACGGTACTAATGGATATTTTTGGTCGCTTTTGAAAATTTAGTGGATTTCTGGATTTATGTATGGGCCCAAATTAGGGGCATTTAGGCTGACATTACATTCTTTTCCCCTATATGAAAATTTAGAGATCACAGGCAAGGGAAAACATAAAGTTTAAAATGTGGACAAATTTTGAAGATATCGGATTTGAATATCTGGATCACGGAGATTTTAGACTTTTTAGTGATTGAATTGACTTTAAAATTGTGACCTAGCCACAAAAAAGAGACCTGCTACAAGCCCTTCTTTTTAGTTTTGGATGAGAGAGTAAATCAATAGCTGTGATATTTTAAAGCATATTGTTTAAAGTAATCTCGGAAAATATGGAGCATATTTTATAAATCTGAAAATAAATCTGTATGTATTTCTGGCAAGACGACTGCAAGTCTGGAAAATCCTGGATCTGGAAAAGATTTGGAATACTGACAACGCTGGTCACGCGTCCCATAGTAACGGTTCACTGGTAAACGACGGTGGCCACAGTCCTCTCTGAGCACTTAATTTTACATGACATGTTTGTTTATGTTTTATCCTTTATATCAAAGATGGCAAGTGTAGAACTAGTTTTTTCTAAGTGAAAAAATAGAAATAAGACATAAAAAACTAAACATACTTTGGAAAGGATCTTTGGTTTTTGAAATTTTTCCTCCATTAACCTCTCCCATGCCCGGTTGGGCATATCCAAAAAAATTCCCAGATGCGGTCGTCCCGATTCCCTCGAGCATGGTTTCGATAATGTAATTTATCATAATTTAAGCTGTCCATTTTTCGTTATTTTTTTTCTGCCATTTCTCCTTCAGATGCTGAAGATGCTCACCGGCGTGGAGAAGTTCATCAATGGACCGGACGGCGATCCAATGAACGCCGCTCAGTGCATCGTTTGTCGGAAATTGAGGTCAGCACTATCTACCTCCGCTGATGTACCTGTACATTGGGGATTTGGGATAGCATTCGCGCGGAAATTTATCGCTTCTTTTTTTCGGAAATGAATTTCATAAATAACAACAACTATTTAATAATTTCTTGCCATGTCGAAGGAGGTGAACTGTTCGTGATGCCCATCGAAGATGCGGGGTCAGAAAATGTAGGATAACGGTGTCCGTTGGTTGTAGGCACTGATCGACGATAAATATTTATGATATTGTTTTGGGAACTACTCGAAACTTATAAAAAAATAACAACGCCACATTCACACTACAACCGTAACGTAAGGCCATGAAGCGTCTGGTGAAATGTATACTTATTACGTATGATAAATGATAGCTGAAATCACTCCATTGAAAATTATACCTCAATAGATTCAAACGAATTGCATCTGTTTTAATTACGGCTCTGCAAAGTGCAGGTTTACGGTAGATTCGAAAATGCACTGCTCGGCATTGGCAGTGCTTTCAGTGGTTCTGGTTGCAGTCGATTGTGATGGTTCGGGCGGTTGGTAAACGATTTCATAACCCAATAAAAGTTCTTCATTCTACTCGTCCTTTTAGTATACTTCACTTACGGATCTGGAATCGAGCAATGGGGTCTTATTAGTAAATATTGCGAAGGAGAAAGACAAAGCCCTATTGACTTGGATACAAGTGTTGCGAAGACTGTACCGGATCCCATTCCTTTGGAGTTGGTTAACGTTAAAGAGAATCCTATCAATGTTAGGGTCAAAAATAATGGTCACACAGGTAAATGTTGGTGATTATGCTAGGATAAATACGTTTTCTTTAATACCTTACACAACTAGTTATTTTCAGCCTCACATATCCAGCGTCCAAGGGTCTCGGTCTACGAGGAGGTCCCCTCGAAGGAACATTCAACTTTGCCAGTTTGCATTTCCACTGGGGCTCCGAGCATACGATTGACACGGAATGGTTCCCCCTCGAGATGCACATGGTTTTCTACAACCAAGACTATGGCTCTCTACACAAAGCTCAATTTCAACCGAATGGGTTAGCAGTGCTGGGCTATTTTTTCTCCAATCAATCCGGAACAGAATCCAGACGATGGGTGGATTCACTGAAATCGGTGAAGAAGGCGGGGTCTGGATATACATTTGTTCATCCAAGCTATATGAATTTGGCCCGAATAATTGGCTTGAAACCAAAACCGTACTTCTACTATCGGGGAAGTTTAACGACGCCTCCTTGCTATGAGACTGTCTCGTGGATCGTGCAAAAAGAGCCTCTAGTAATTAGTTCAGCACAGTTGAATCTATTCGAATGTTTGAAGGGAAAGCATGGCTATTTAAGAGGCAACTACCGACCGGTCCAGAACTTGAATGGAAGAACTGTATGGATATATGATAATTGATTTAACCTTGATCGATGGAAGTGATTAACTGAAATGTTGATGATTTCCGTATTTCATTAAATAAATCCTCGCCTCTAGGAATTCAAAAAACAATTTTTCTTTACCTCACGGAGCGAATTTATTTTCATTTTTTTTTCGAATACAGAATCCACTAAAATTTAAAATAAATTTAAAATATGTATCAGAATACTAAATTTTATATTGACATACAATTTTTTTGGTGATAGAAGAAATGGCTCTTATGTTGGCCTATGGATCTAAGATTGGGCCCATCGCTAAAAATCAGCTATTTATCAATTTTATCTAGATGAACGCATCATTGGGACGATTGGTCGCTATTGAACATTTAGTCGATTGCTGAATTTATGTATGGGCCCAAATTAGGGGCATTTAGACCGACATTACATCCATTTCCCCTATCTCACTTTTATTTGGCCTTCTTCCCATCAGACTGTGTTCTTCTATAACTTTAATTTCAAACTTACCACATTCCTCAATAAAATGGGCTTTAACAAAAAGTTAAAACAATGTGACCAAAAGTTCCTGTTCTACGATTTATGTCAATTTTCAAGTGTCAATATTTAAATTTTTTTCTTATGTTCGCATTTTTCAAGAGCTTTTGACGTAGGACTACGTCTTTGATTTCTATATGGGGTTACACTTTGTGAAAACTGAAAATAGAACATGTAACAAATTAAGAAAGATTTTGAACGCTAATAACTCAGCTGCCCCTGTTCCAATTTCAATAATTTTATCACCAATCGATCAGAAATATGGCTACGCATCGAAACAACGCTTCCGAATGTTGATTTTCAACAAGAATCTATTGAAAAACTGGTAAATATCCAGCATTGTCCAAAAGCGTCGAATTAACTAACAAATCCACCATCTGCCTACATGCATATGCTGCTTCCCCAGCACAGTCGTCAGAGAGTAGTAAGTAGACGAAACAAGTCAAAGTGGCATTCGCCTTCGATCCTCGGGCGCGTGCGAATAGGGAGGGTGGAATTGCGTAATGTTTTGCACACTCATCGCCATATTCAGAACCAAACGCAAATTCTTCGAGATAACTACCATCCGTCGTCTGGCTCGCCGTGGCGGTGTCTGACGTATCTCCGGTCTGATTTACGAGGTGTGCTGAAGGTGTTCCTGAAAAATGAGATCCGTGATGCTGTCACCTACACTAAACACGCCAAGCGTAAGCGGCCATGGGTGTCATCTACGTTTTGAAGTGACAGAGACGCACTCTGTTTGGTTTCGGAGGTTAAATCATCACCATCTTTGGCAACAAAACGGCTCTTTTCAGGGCCACCAAGCTTATTACAGTAAAGAGTAGGAATAGAATTCATCTGCCTGTTTGTCCATATTCAGAACCAACGACCACACAAAATGCTCATGTAATCAAACTGGAAGCAGGGGTACAAATTATTTTGATCAACCTTAAATCGCCACGGCCGGATATTTTCGATGGAAGAAGCAACAATCTAGCATCTAATTCGACGAAGACGGCAGGAAACATTTGTGAAGCCGAGTTATTTACGAAAGAGAATGTAGATGAAGAGAATCGATCAATGTAGATAGGACCTATTGAAAAGTGACGCGAGATTCCCGAAGGAAGCCGTGATCAGAGATGTTATGCCTTAGAACATGCCGGTGGCGCCGACGGAGATTGGACCCAGGCCTGCTGGGGTGAGAGGTAATCACGCTAACCACCGGCGCCGATATCTTTCAAGATATCACGGCGAATGAGATCGACCCAAATTTGAGTTTAGTTATCTCAGAAATAAGAAATAAAGTGCAGGAACTCAGCGATGAGTAAATTTGCTTCATGTTTTCCCAGGTTTTTTCCAGGATTTTCCAGGGGAAAATTCCCAAATTTGAGAAAAGTAAAGATTGGATTCACTCAGTCCATTGGTACTACTCCGAGACTGAATGAAATTTTCGTCAATTTCCTCATTTTCTGGCAGATTTTTTAGTTTTTTCCACAGGAAACCATGAGACAAATTTACTCATCGCTGAGTTCCTGCACTTTTGGTGATTATGAGTGAACTAAACTCAAATTTGGGTCGTTCTCATTTGCCGTGTACGCAAAAGGAAAAGAGCCAGAGTCGCTCCTTCATAGCAAACTACTCATAATGGGAGGAGTCTTTGTAGCTTTTGTACCACTTAGTTGCACATAATTCTGCTTTAACCTGAAAAGATATAAAAGAGCGCTGCTGTATGGCATTAGCTGATTCCTTGCTTGAACGTCAAGCAGTACAGTTCGGTCTTTGCTCGCTCTGTCGAGTTGTTCGATTAACCTATAGTTTGTTACAAACGTTCGCAGATATACTGCACGTCGCGTCGCATCGCGTGATGTGAAGACAGCGCTCCCGGAGCAGACTTTGTGACCAAGCGGAGAAGAAAAACAGTGGTGAGGGTAGCTCGGTACCTACCTCAAATAGGTACGCTACTCTTCCCACCGATGTTGGGAATACCAACCAGTCCCGGTGAAGCGGACGAAAAAGAGGAAGAAGAATCAAGGACAGTCCGATGGTACGAGAGGACGCGACGATGTTACCGCGACCAACGCCAGCGACATCGGTGATTTCGGCGACGCCGTCGAAACCGAGAATGCTGCCGGCCCGAGTGCGGTGAAAATCAAGCTTCCTCCACTGGTGGTGAAGCAAGTACCACTCAACACGCTGATTGGCGATCTCTCATCGCTGGGCGTTGCAGCGGAGTTTAAGCTCGGCAGGATCGGCACCAAGGTGATGCTGCGAACAAAAGCAGAGTACGAAGTGGCCGTGAAATATCTGAAGGATTCCAAGGCGGAATTCTTCACGCACGACATCCCCGGTGAGAAGCCCTTCAAGGTAGTCATCAGGGGTTTACCAAACTTTGACCCCAAGATGGTCGAAGCTGAAATCAACCAGTACAAGCTAGCCCCAATCGCTGTCTTCCGAATGAAAAGGAGAGACGAAAACGTGAAGACGTACCCGGATTGTCTCTTCCTGGTGCACCTCCAGAAAGGGACGGTGACTCTCAATGCGCTGTAAGCCATCCGATCGATCTACTCCATCATCGTACCATGGGAGCCATACCGTGGTGGCCATCGTGACGTAACGCAGTGCCAGCGGTGCCTCAATTTTGGACACGGTACCCGCAACTGCAACATCAAGCTACGCTGCAGCAACTGCGCTCAAGAACACGCCACTTCCAACTGCCCTGCGGATGGAGCCGTGGCGTTAAAATTCGCCAACTGTGGTGGTGCTCATCACGGTTTCGACAGACAGGGCTCCAAACGCGAGGACTTCAAACGCATCCGAAAACAGGTGGCAACTAACAATCAACCAGGACGCAAGAAGGACAAAGTCCCGGCATTTCGGACGGAGGATTTCCCGCCTCTTCGTGCTCCTCAGCAAAGGCAAGCGAATTCACTGGTGCATCCCACACAAGCAACTTCCGGTGATTCTGCTGGCCAAAGCTCTCCATCTCCCCCTGGATTCAGGAGACAACCAACAGCGCAAAACAACAACCCCGATCTGTTCTCAGCGGATGAACTGATGGAAATTTTCGTCAACATGTGCGGTGCTCTTCGTAAGTGCCGCAATAAGCCCGAACAAATCCAAGTGCTCGGTAAGTTCATCATCCAGTATGGCGTCTAAACCGATAACTATCGTCACCTGGAATGCTTGCTCTGTAAGCATCGACGTGGGCCTTTTAACCGAGACCCATCTAAAGTCCGACGACAGCTTCTGGTTGCCTGACCACAACATTATCCGGCTTGATCGCACCAGCTCCAGGGAGGGTGGTGTTGCGGTCGTCGTCAAGAAAGGAATAAAATACCACACTCTGTCTCCATACCCATATGGAGTCGTCGACTGGATACGTCCAGTTCATCGCCGTCTACTGCCCTCGACAGTGTGCCGCCAGCAATGGACTAGCGGCTAAATTTAAGAAGGACCTGTCCACCATCACCCGTATCGGTTCCCGCTTCGTAGTTGGAGGAGATCTGAATGCTCGCCATGAGGCCTGGCGGAACTACCGGCAGAACCAGAACGGTTGTCTCCTGTTCGACCACTCACAGCATGGGCTGTACTCCGTTTGGTTTTCGGATGAACCAACATTCATCTCACCGGCGGGCAACCCATCGACGCTAGACCTGTTCCTGGCAAATATCGGCTTGTCCAAGCCGGTAGCCTTGAACGAACTCAGCTCTGACCACCAACCGGTGGTAGCTGAACTGGGCTGCAACGTGGCTCCTGCTTCAAGCCTGCGCAAGGACTACCATCGCGTAAACTGGGCCCAGTTTGAACGCGTGGTAGACAGGCACATCATCGACAACCCGCCGCTCGACACCGTGGAGGACATCGACCGAGCGTTGGAGGGACTCCACCAAGCCATAACCGTGGCTGACGAGGCGTGCGTCCGACGAGTTCCTGTGAGGGGTAAGTTTATTGCCATTGATTCCCACACCCAACTTTTGATTCGCCTGAGAAATGTTCGTAGACGCCAGTTTCAGAGGACTGGAGTTCTGGGCAAAAAACGTGAAATGGCCGATCTGAACAGACAGATTGCTGAAATGAAAGTTTCGGGCGTGTTGTCCAGAATCTGGACGACCGCTCCAGACCATTCTGGAAGGTAGCCAAGGTCCTGAAAACTCATCCCGAACCCGTTCCACCTCTCAGAGTCGAAAATGATGACGATAGGCTTTTAATCACCCCACAGGAGAAAGCAAATGCGATCGGCAAGCATGTCGCTTCATCGCATTTGCATGGCTCGACTATCCAAAGTCCGCCCGATGATCAGGTTGCGCAATGCGTTCAAAACCTAGATACCTCCCCTTGTGTCGTGAATCCGGCGGATATGATTACAGTACAACAGATTTGCTCAGCGCTGAAATGCACCAAGAACATGAAGGCTCCCGGGTTTGACGGTATATTCAACTTGATCTTGAAGAGACTTGTTACAGTTTCTCTGAATCGAGAGAGGAAACTTGTATGTGGATTACTCCTGCT